AGTACGGAAATAAAATTAAAACTTATTTATAGATATATTTTTTTAAATAATAAAAATGACAAAACAAAACAAAAATTACAGAATTTCTTAAATAACTCAATATATGAATGTTTCGTTTTGTTTATATTGAAGTACTAAAATAACTACAATTAAAATTTTAATTAAACTAAATAAAACAAAAACTAATAAATTCTTAAAACTTTTAACTAAAATTCAAATAGAAAATAAAGTATAATAGCATATCAATGATACCAAAATGACAGTGATACTAAAAATTTTATTTTTACTGTAGAACACAAATTCAGAATAAAAAGGCAATTTTTATGATGCTTTTATGGTGCTTTTTGGAGCTTGACCTTGATCACAATCAGTTGTTGTTGTGTGCTTTAAGATTCTTCATAAATTCTCATTTTGTGTTCCACAGGAAATAAAATGACATCATACATGTTCGGAACATCAAAGAATGACAGAATGTCCATTTTTGGGTGAACTGTCCTTTTAAATTCACTAGCTGTCCAACCTGCTCTTTAGATCTCAGAATATGCAATTAAAAACCCATATTGTTTGTTATCAGTATCCGTGAAAGTCATAAATAATCCAGCAGTTCCAAGGCTGTGCTTCTAGTCTCTGTTCTGAAAAGAGTTGGAGGGTCCCATCATAAGGCCTCCAGTCAGACGGTGGTGACTCTCATAACCACTTCTCTAGGTTTAGTGGTGTTTGTGCTGATGTTGCTGGCTGGGCTGCGTGGCTCATGCGGCCGTAGATGACTCAGTAAATGCAGGAGGTTATAGGGACAGTGCTGGTCCGGTAAAGCCGGTCCGTCAGCGAGCGCATCAGTCTGGTAGGAGTCCTGCGCTGCAGCTATGGTGTTTGTCGTGCCGTCGGTCACGTCGAGTGCCGGTGTCCCAGCAGCAGCCATGAGTGAAGACGGTGAAGGAGAGACGTCCGCTCCTGATGGATCCCTCTGGTGGAGCAGCGAACGCGTCCATTCCTCATTATTCTTCAGCTCCTCGCTGTCTCGCTTCTTGTCGTAGTTTAAAACTTTCCACTGCTGATTGACGGCCTGCCAGCGGTGGAATATACGGAAAACGGACGGGCCCTCGTGGACAATTAGAGCTGCGGAGAAGAGAGATTCATCCGGGTTACTGTAAGTTTCTGCAATGTTTTGATCATTCTGACAATTCTTGAGTTATATGGAAGCTTGTTTCTGCCACAAAACAAAAAATGGTGAATCTTATCTTTTAAATCTTATCTTATATATTGCAATTCTTGGTTTATACTTTGCAATTCTAAATTTATGCCTCACAATTCTAGTTTATATTTCGCAATTCTGAGTTTATCTTACAATTCTGAGTTTATATCTCACA